GTGCAACACAGTATACAAAAACGTACCACTAAGCACTCTGGGAAATAGTCCCTACTCTTGTCGTTTTCTTCTTTCAGCTTTTTTAAGCACTAACCTAAAACTCTTGGAGGTTGGACAAAATTAATAATACATTAACACAACTTAGTACTGCAGGTTTCTTTCACAAACTCTCAGCTACATTTATTTCAATAGTAGAAGATAGATTTGACTCAAATGTTTTACAGTGCATGAACACACATTCACACCTATGGAGAACTTAAAGAGACCAATCAATCTAAAAGAATATACAGTGTATCACAAAAGTGAGAACGCCCCTCACATTTCTGCAGATATTTAAGTATTTAAGTTTTTTTTTTTCTGCTCCGTCCTTCGAAGAAGGAGGACGCACTTTCTCTGTCTCCCTGTCAGAGAGAGACAGGAAGCTATTCTTTCTTTTGAATAACTTCCGAAGTTGCAAATTATGGATCTGGTCAGCTGGTCTCAACACAATTGATACAATTTTTTCCACTGGGAAACCGGGTGAAGGGGAACCTTCGTGTCCTGACGGGACATTCTTCACTGGATATACGATGGATTCTACATGGAAGTGGAAGACTGTGTGTCTGACGATGCTGTCAGTCGAGGATGTTGACTATGTGTACATAATTGGATTCATGATAACAGGTTTTCTGCTTATTGGAGTTGGCGGATACCTGGCTTATCGGAAATTTCGGAAGATGCCAGCGGCCGTTTTTGGCAACTTCGACGCTGCCGGGTCCGGTTGAGGGGATCTGTACAGTGATCTACACTCAGACTGAGATGATACGGGAGCTGAGCTGCAGACTGGGTGCGATCCTGGAACAGGACCGTGGCTGGGCAACGGATCTCGGACTCAGAATGGATTTGGTGTGACCTTGGAGAACGTTGTTCGCTCGGATCAGGCAGGAGACCCTAAATTTGGCTGTTTGGATTTGCCACTGAGAAGCATCAGCGAGACTTTCAAGGAAGGCAGTAAACTGATGTCAGCCTGACCTAAACAAATTATTGCTATCGGAATCTGGCTGCCCGGGCTGGCCTTGGCTGGCCAGCTATCCTCCCCTGTTATGTCTAAATAAGGCTCTGTTCTGCTGCCCCTCCCCTCCCTGAGGACATCTGTGGCCCTGAACTGTTTATGCTGGGTGTGAACCCGACATCATATTCAGAGACAATCGCGGACAAATCGCATGCTTCACTTAGGGCTCTTGTGAGCCCTAAGTGAAGGGCTCACAAGAGCGTCTCATAACTCACATGAGACCCATATTCACGTCACACCTCCTTGTTTTGTCTATATGTGTTTATATGTGCTTAAGTGTCGAGGGTTTTTTTTCTTCATCTCAAACTCTGCCCTGCAAAGAGCAGAGTGTGAGACAGGCTGCGTTTTTTCCCCCTCTCTTTACCTGATGTTTTTTTTCCTTATTTTTCCTATTTCCTCCTGCAAAGGCGGCACCTGTTGGGCTGCGAGGCCTCTCCTCCCCCTCTTGTTGTTGTGTAATGGATGGTTGTAACTGAAACTGCAATTTCGTTGTCTTTCTG